AGAAAAGCTGAGTGCCTGAGGCCGGAACGCTGAGTCCTTGAGTCCCTGAGGCCAGGGCCCTAGGGGTCCTACGCTGTGAAACAAAAAGGAGAGACGCCGGCGGGACCATTGATGTTATCGAGCACGAAACCTCTTTGAGATGAGGAAGGTTAAATTTGGAACGATACAAAGAAGATTGGGGCATGGCCTCTGCGCACTCAAGGATGACAGGCGCAAATCAACATTCCAGGAACAATAGTGAGCCATCAGTGGGAGCAGTGCCAATCACCGTAGTCTTGTTATCAAATCTACAACCGCATGCGACGTTGCGCCGGTGGAGCAGCTCAACGCCGCATGCGTCTTAAAACGCGTGCCGGGAAGCAGGGAGAGAGGGAAAGGGAGAAAAGAGGAGAGAGAACGAGGCGCACCCTAACGATAAGCGTCTTTCAAAGAACTCAACAACCTCGCGCGGACCAGAAATCCAGGGCCTCCTAGCTGGACCACTCCGCAAATTTGACAAATGGCGCGTGTATCTTTCCCTTAAATTTGGAACAATACACTCGCCATTTTCCCATTTGACGAGTTGCGCAGCGAAGCCCCCAGAAAAAGATTAGAAAACGACACGCAGAGCGAGAGAGCGAGAGCGACAGCGACAGCGACAGAGAGACGCACGGGAAGACCAGGACAGGCAACAGAGAGTGGGAGTTGGAAGAGCTGCGCAATCCTTTACAAGAAAGAAAGAGGAGGGACAGGAAACGAAGCAGCAAAGCTGCGAGCGACCACGAGAGGGAGAGAGGAGACGAAGCAGCACAGCTGTGACATCACGCGAGAGGCAGACAAGGAGAAAGACTCCATGAGGGCCAGAGTAAGGGAGAAGGGGGAAACATTGCAGTAGTACAAGAAAGGCGGCGAATCAAACGCAGCCATTGATGCACCTTGCTCTGGAGAAACGCAGCCTTGTGAAGGTACTCGAAGACACTCGCCACGGTAAGCGAACGGCTTGACACGTGGCAAAATCTTGACCTGGGTCACGCGCGACCGTATAGAGCTCAGGAGAGCTGACGAGGTGGTTACGGGCTTTCGGCTGGACAGAAAATTAGTATTAGGAGATTGATTTCCTATTACAGTAACCGTGGACAGACATCCTCTCCCTGCTTGCATTACTTGCTAGTCCTCTCCCTCTACCATCATATCCTCATTCCCGCCAGATTGCCTGATTTATGTTCACTCATCTGATACCACTGGAATTCGAACTCGTGTCTGTATTTCAACAGTTCATGGGTGTACCAACTGAACTATGCCAGTTGATAGATTGCCTGATTAATATCTGCTGCTCTCTGCCAGACTCTACGCGCTCCTCTCCCGCTCTCTCCCCCGCGCTTGGAGGGAAAATCCCCGCCAAATCGCACCTGTTTCCCCGCCAAATTGCACCTCTTCTCTGGCGCCCAAAACCTTTCCAGAGGAAGATGACTGCAGTGCTGTAAAGTGGGGCGCATGTCAACCCCGCAAGAGAAGAATCCCTGGGTGAATTGGACTAGGACGAAAATGAGGGTGCCTCCGAGGAGGGGGAGAAGGAGGGGAGGGTGTGCTGCAGGAGGCGGAGAAGACGGGAGCACTTTGAAACTCCCTACACGTGAAAGAGATTGGGATATGTCGAGAAGAAGGGGCGCGCACGTCGTAGAGGCGAGCAGCGCATCAGAGAGGGGAGACGGGAGAGCGGAGTACGAGTGGACAGCTCATCGACGAGGAGGAAACACTCGCCAAAGGAACGAAGCCGACCACGAGTAGGAAGAAGAAGAGGAGGAGGGGCACGACGGAGGACGAGGAAGAAAGGAGCGAACGAAGAGCGTGAAGCTCGCTGTGGGTGGGGATGGAAAAGGAGGCGGAGGAGGAAGGCGTGGGGAGCGGTGAACGGAAGGGGACGGAGAAGAAGAAGGTGGACAAGCGGAAGAGAACAGCGTGCGAAGGGAGATGGAGAAGACGAAGGTGGAGGACCACGCAGGGGAGCAGGAGTGCGAGAGGGGAGGGGATTGGAGGAGGAGGAGGAGGAGGAAGCGGAGAAGAAGAACGGGCTGAATGGGGAAAGGAAGCGGAGAAGCACGCTGGACTCACCGGCGCTTCAACGGGCTTTCTCCATTCAGGATCGCTTACAGGGAAGGTGGGGAAGGGAGAAGAAGAGCAGAGGAGGAAAGAAGGCAGGAGGGGGAGACGCACGACGACGATGGGCCGTAGATCGGAAATCCAGGGAAAAACTCACTTCGTCGAGGTACTGTCTCTCCAGATTTCACTAGCAGGGTCTCCAATGCCCTCCATGTTCGCTTGGGACATCTGGACAACAGGATTTGCATGGGGTTCCCAGCGCTGCCGCGAGCAGCGCTGAAACGCACAGCTGCGGACAAGGTTCTGTCACAAGTCAACGTGTGACGCCCACGTTGACCTGTTCCACGTTGACTTGCGACGCCCTCCCAGTTGAATACCGGAAGCACGCTGTCAAAGCGCCGCAAAAGGATTCGAACGTTGAAGCAGGCCTTGGAATGGAGCACGCTGTAAAAGCGCCCCAAAAGGGTTCGAACGTTGAAGCAGGCCTTGTTTCCCGCCATACCAGCAAAACTCAATTGGGAGGAGGTAGACAAAAGGGGCCGAATATTCCGAACATTCGGAATAATATTCGGAACCCCGAACAGCGTTTAGCAGCCCAGAGGCTGCGTTCGGCCTGCGGGGTGGGGTCATGGACCTCAGTACCCAAAAAAAGATCCGAAAAAGCAGAAAAAAGGGTGTTGCTGAAGGGTGTGCCAGTATTTTTCTGGAGAGATCAGTCATAGTTGACTCAAGACAAGGGCCGGGGCTCGCAGTCAACTCACTCACGGCTGACTCATTGACTTACCGTGAGGGCACGGATGCGCAACCCGTAGTTCGTTTGTTTATGTGGTTCGGGAAGGGTAAGGTAGTGAATATGCTGTATGTATGTTTTGTCATGTTCGCTAAACACAAGTCGAAGAGAGTGTGTGTGTGGGGTCACGGTTGATGCTTTATTCACGATGTTCATGGGACGCTGGACCCAGTTTCCAGCAGGTGGCGCTCCCCATCATAGACAGGAGAATGTATGTGTGTGTGTTCGCAGGCTGCGGTATAGTGGGCTTCGGCGTCTGCGTCAAGCTGTCGCATTTTCGGCGGTGGGCGACCAGGACGCAAAGTGAGTTTTTAGGGGGCAAAAGTGGGGGGGACCGGCCCTTGGCAAAATTGGGGACTACCTACAGGCAGCTCTGGAATGACTGGGCCTTTTGGAAAAAGCAAGGACCGGTCCTCGGGTTGAAGCCGACCCCTAAAAGGAAGGTCCTTGGCAAAATTAGGGACTACCTGCAGGCAGCTCTGGAATGATCGGGCCTTTGGAAAAAGCAAGGACAGGAAATGTAGCCGCACTCTCGTTTCAGCCGTCTGAACGCCTGCTCTTAGCGAAAAGCGTCGAACATCAGTGTGAAGACATTGGGGGGCGTGGAGGCTTTTGGAATTCGTAATTCGTAATTTGTAACACACGGTGAACGTGCGAGATCTTGACACAGCAAGAGAGAGAGAGAGTACGGACTTGAAACGAAGACATAGATGCGCGTGGTAACACACCGTGAACGTGCGCGATTGAACACAGCAAGAGAGAGGGAGTACGAACGTGAAACAAATACATAGACGTGTGTGGTGAGGCACAGAGTGAGTTGACTTTGACTTCTGATAACACGGGAAACCTCTCTCTCTCTCTCTCCCCCCCGTCTCTCTCACATCTCTCTCTCTCTCTCTCTCTCTCTCTCTCTCTCTCTCTCTCTCTCTCTCTCTCTCTCTCTCTCTCTCCAGAGACATATGATGACACATCCAAGACACATAATAGAAGATTACAGAAGAATTATTGTCATCGCTTGCAGATATATGATGGTTTTTTTCTCTTTTTTTTTCTTTGTTGATGATCCGATGAATCACAGATCAGATATTAAACTAGCCAGAATAGATACACTGGACTTGAAAGGCCGAGAAAGGTATACTGTATGATGGTATATTGTAGAAATTGCGCGTTGGAGATGGCACGTGGGCGATGAAGGAGAAGATGCGCGGGAACAAAAGGAAGAAAACACACGAAAGAACGGGAATTACGAGGAGACACGTGGGCGACATGAGACGAAGAAGATCTTTTATGAAGAATGACGTGATGAGGAGGAGCAACGCGCGAGGAGCAAGAAGACAGCGCTTGGGAAAAAGGAAGCGCGCAAGAGATAGTAAGCCCAATGTGTGACTCGGAGTGGGTGATGAGCGCATTCACGTGCGGTGAACGGGCGACGCGCAATGAAAAGCGGAAGGATGCACCCCTAAAGAAGAGGAAAAAGAATATTAGTGAGTGAGTGAGTGAGTGAGTGAGTGAGTGAGTGAGTGAGAGAGTGAGAGAGAGAGAGTGTGTGTGTGTGTGTGTGTGTGTGTGTTGTCTCTGTGTGTGTGTGTGTGTGACATCCTCTCTCTCTCTCTCTCTCTCTCTCTCTCTCTCTCTCTCTCTCTCTCTCTCTCTCTCTCCCGTGATCGAGGTCAAGAACTAGCGGAATCGAGTCGTAATGGTCTAGATCCAGATGGAAAAACGGCACTCACGATTGTAATACATTCACCTCTCAAAACCCAAGCCGAATAAGTCGTCCCGGGACAGCTACAACTGCCACGGTGACCTGTAACCTTTCAAGTTTATATCATCTTCAACAGCAGCATCGGGATTCGTTCCCCGCTCCCACTTTTCTCGCCTCTACCTGTGTTTTTCCTGCCTCTACCTGTGCCTGAGGGGCGGGAACGATCTTTTTCTATTCTCTTACTACATGTCCCGGCGGAAAGGGCATCCTCCCGATCTCTGCGCTCTTTCTCTCCCTCTAAAATTAAAGAATAATTTAGATAATGTATTGTGTTTTATTTCGATTGATATTTCATGTTTCATTTTGTTTTTTTTTCATGCCTCTTTATGCTTCTCAGCGTTTTTTTCCATTCGATTACGAAGTTCATGCTCCGTTTTATTTTGCCGACGGACTCTGTCTCGGACTCGTTTTCGATGTAACTGTTGTTGTTGATGTATGACATCCACATTCTTTTACTCCATTGAAAGTTGTTGTTTCACAATAAACAATTATTTAAAAACGTAATCAGAATACATACAAAGTTATTTGAAAAGACTATGTTCTTAATAAACAAAGATTGAGAGAGAGAGAGAGAGGAAAAAAAAAAAAAAAAA